TTTTTTTCCTGTAGTGATGTACGGAAGTGAGAGCTGGACCATAAAGAAGGCTGACCACCAAAGAATTGATGCTTTGGAATTGTGGTGCTGGAGGAGACTCTTGAGAGTCCCCTGGACTGCAAAGAGAACAAACCTATCCATTTTGAAGGAAATCAAGCCTGAGTGCTCACTGGAAGGACAGATCCTGAAGCTGAGGCTCCAATACTTTGGCCATCTCATGAGAAAAGAAGACTCCCTGGAAAAGCCCCTGATGTTGAGAAAGTGTGAAGGCAAGAGGAGAAGGGGACGCCAGAGGACGAGATGGTTGGACAGTGTCTGCAAAGCAACCAACATGAATTTGACCCAACTCTGGGAGGCAGTGGAAGACAGGAGGGCCTGGCGTGCTCTGGTCCATGGGGTCACAAAGGGTTGGACACAACTAAACAACAACAACCTAAGAAAATAAATTCACAGTGCAGTGCCACCATTTTTTTAAAAAAAAAACATATTAAGTAATATATCAAATTAATTGTAGCACTTTTAAAAATAAAAGAAAAAGATGGGCAGTCTGCTTGAAGCATAAATATCAAGACTGATGGCTGAATGATTCAGCTTTTGGGTACAAATATCTATTGTTTAAATTGTGTTTTAAGTGTGTTCTGGAGAATTCTTGCAAATATTGGCTCCTGCAATGTGCTCCTGCAAACAGGAGGGGTTAAACATGCCACTTTGAACCCATCAGCTTTGAGATCCCAATCACAAGCACATTGATGAGAGAATAAACTGCATTAATCACAAGGGGATTTAGCGCTGAATAAATGTGTAGAATAAGGAAAGCACTGAGAAAACAACAACCCTGTAATCCATGCACTGAATCTTCAAAGAAACTAAAAGATTTTCCACTCACTCCGCATTTTTATCGGTTGTTCCACTAACAGATTTCGGGGTACCTAATAATTTCAGGACCATTTCTATTTTGAAAAAGGCATTTATATATCTCTTCTGCAGAAAGCTGTCATTATTTTTTTTAAAAAAATAAACCACTCCCCTCTGATATAACCTGTTTTATTTTATTTTAGATGAGCTAATCTCATAGACTTCCTGTGCTTAAAAGGCAGGTTTTATTTTTGTGTAATTAAACTGGGTTATCTGTCATCCAGCCATATTAGTTCACGCCATCTTAATTATGTGCCGTTTCCTTCCCGAGCACAGAACCTGCAAACAGTGAGAGGAGCAGAAGCAAGTCAGTGAGTGGGTGTATAGAAATTCTTGACACACACTGTCACATAATTCCAGCATGACAAATGTTTCTGCAAAAAGAGATATCCTCCTTTGAGCAGAAAATCCTCTTCTTTCTCTTTGAGGGGGATGGTAGATTGAATAATCATGTACACTTCCAGATAGATCTCAATATTTAGCTCAAGTCTAGTTTCAGGGTTGCTGCAGCAGAAGAGCCGATCTGAACTCTGAACTGCAGACAGTAGTTTGTACAGTGGCTCTTTAATGACAACACACTTGCAGTATCGAAGCATTGAGGCTTTATTTTTAATTCTCCTTTTTGGCTTTGATTGAGTTAGCACTGCAAAAGCATGGGGTTCCTTCCAAAATAAAAAGTCTCATTTGATTCCCCTCCACCTCACCAAACTTTCACATACCCCACTAATACTCAGTAGAAATGCTGCACCTGGTCCACAACAAAGACAAGGAATGTTGTATTTGGAACTACAGGAAAAGAACCAGAGTCCACTGTGGCCAGAATGTGGAGATTCAGATTCAAATTCCTGCTCACTCATGTAGCTTGAAGGTGACCATAGTCCATTCTGAGCTTCGGGGACAACTATATTGGCAAATAACATCAGATCTAGCATGGTTAGATTTAATGCTGATGACTATATGACATACATTTAAATGTGAATCAGCATGGCCTTTTTTCCTCCTAATGCATAGAGGTTTTTTTTTCTCCTCCTGCCTCTGGGACTTCTACTTTTGGAAGCAAGTCAATTTTCATCCGTTTCAGGCATGTGGGATTGTGTATGTCAGTATAGAACAACAACAGGGCATTTCCTGGGGTCCTGTTGAAGGTGATGCCATCATCTGGTTGTATTCTGTTGCTAAATAGGAAACACCCACACCCACACCCAATACGGTCTCCATTTTTGTAAAACAGTGAATTTATCTATTTTTAAAAATAATTTCCTAGCCTAACACTATGGTATATAGTTTTGCAGCTCGCTTAGCTTTCCTTGTATCCATTCCTCTGATCCCTTAGCTTCAGCGCACTGCCACATAAGCACATGAGCAAGGGAAAATAAGCACAGTCTTTTCACTGTAGATGGGCAGGAAGCAAGCATCTGGGGAAACTAATTCTGGGATAGTGTAAGGGTGGCAGGTTGCAGTTTCAAATCAGCCATATAGCCTTTACAAGAAGAAATATTTCTTTAAAACACCAAGGAATTAGACCAGTTTTGTACTCCGGCTGTTTGGTGTGCTTACTGTATGTGCCTGAGGATAAAGGCAGAGAAAGAGGGTGGCATCGATGACAAATGGGGGAGAAGGGAGGGGCAATTTGTGGTCCCATTATGAACTGCAGCTTTTCATAATGCTGCTTCAGTCTGGGATGATTCAATAATTCCATTTGGATGGTAGCAGTGATTTTAGGACCAAGGGAGGCTGCAAATCAATCCAATTCCAATTTAAATCAATTTGGCTCCCAATGTAATTGCACCCTTAAGACTCTCTTTCACATAGTTGTGTGGACAAAGAAGGAAAATCAAAGTGACCACCATGCCACTTTAAGCTCTTGAGAGGGGTGAGAAAGCAAGAAAAAAAATCTAGTAAAGATGAAGCAGGGGGACTTGGCAGTGACTACCATTTTTTAGATGTACCCCTTAATCCTTGAATTTTTTTAGTTCCTTCCTGTATGACATACCAAATCTGATTATGATGGTTATCACGGTTACTTAGGCTGAAAGTGCTATCTTTGCTATTCATTTTTAGCATCTAAACCAGGGATCAGGGAACTTTTTTACCTTTTACTCCTCCCAAAAAAAAAAAAAAAATTATATACGCCGACATTACCCACTTGATTTGAAAGGAAGGAAATCATACATCATTTGAATTCAAAATCTTATTGAATCTATTCAAAATTACTTTGAAAGCATCAACTGACTTGAAAACTTCAGGTTTTGGAGAAATGATGTTGCTTCATCTTGGATATGAGAGCATCAATATTGGGGCTCTGCTCATCCTCATTACCCCCAGGATTTTCATTTTTACCCCATTTGGGGTAATTTACCCCTGTTCCCTGACCACTGATCTAAACCAATATAAGAGAGGCTGAATTCCTCCTTCACACACACCACTTGAGGTTTTGATCTCCAAAGATGTTATCTGCAGGCTGACTGACTTGTTGAGAAACCAGCCAATGGAACCGGATTCGCCTGTGCACTCTTAAAACTAGCTCTGCAGGGCTGGGAAAATCTCAGGAGCAGGTTTTCAAATAGTGCAGAAGGTTCCTAAATGAGGGAAGTTCCATGGTGACCACCTCTTGTCTGCACTTATTCATGCTGTATTTTTAAAGAGTACATGTTGACTTCAACAATGTTATATCGTAATAGAAACCCATTACTTTTCTCTAGAGATAGTCTTAACTGTAAAAAAATTAAGCTGTTTTATACACAACAGACTAGGGTTGAATTTTTGGAGTGAGTATTAAAATGAATGTTGGTAAATGTTGCAACTAGCATTTCAGCTCAGTTGAACTCTATTCCCTAGGGCGTGGAATTAAGATTGCTGCATTAATCTTGTGGTCACAATTTTTAAGATTAGTATTCTCTCCTCCATACAGCTACTGTGCTATAAATATACAGTTGTCACAAATATAGTTAACAAGGTTTTTTTTCTTTCTTTCTTAACAGATACAGTAGCAGAAAGAAGTGCATTACGAGAACATGTGTATCCTAAACTGCGGGAATTCTGCAGGGAAAACTATGGGCTGGAATTTCAGGTAGAATTTTTTCTTTATTATTTAAGTTGTGGTGCTCATAAGCCTATAAAACACAGTACATGCTGTGATACAACATTAACCTATCCCAGTAGTTGCATACAGACCTTTTAAGGACATGCTCCATCGCTATGTGGATACAGCTATGCTTGTAGAGAGGATCAGCATGACTTATTTGTGGCCCTCATTTCTCCTTCTCTCCTACTTCTTAACTGACTCTCAGCTACAGTCATATCTCTGGCCATGACGTACAAAAGGATGGGGCATGCCTTGGGATAGCAATAAATGCCTTCATTGTTTAGATCCCCGGGTTACAAGAAATGGAATAGAGATGCTGGTATACAATGGTGCCTCAACTTACGAACGTCCCAATTTATGAGTTACAGCCAGCTCCGGCCGCAAAATTTTGCTTCGACTGGCGGCCGGAGCTTCGAGTTACAACCAAAAAAAAGCAAAGAAAAAAAGCGGGGAATTCAAATTGCTAACCATTGGTGGCGACGAGGCTGCTTCTTTGTAACTCTTTTGCCCCAAAAGTTAGAGTGAGTGCGATTGGAGGAGGCTTGGGACTGCCTGGTAAGGTAAAGTGCTGCTTTCTGCTTCTTAAAAACTGTTCTGGGTGGGTTTTGCAGCGTGGTTTTGGGCTCGGTGGTGGGATTATGTTTCTATTCTGTGCTGGGTCTTGCGGGTTTGCTTGTTTGGTGTTTTTTCCCCATTTCTGATGAGTCATGGGGGGTTTGTTTGCTTTTTTGAGGCTTTTTGCATTTCTGATGGGTCTTGGTGGGTTTGTTTGCTTTTTTTGCTGCATTTCCGATGGGGCTTGCACACTTTGCTTGCTTTCTGCTTTGCTTTTTTGCATTTCCGATGGGGCTTGCACGCTTTGCTTGCTTTCTGCTTTGCTTTTTGCATTTCCGATGGGTCTTACACTCTTTTCTTGCTTTTCTTTTTTTTCCCCCCTCCTTTGGCCAGAACGGATTAATCACATTTCCAATGGGTCTTGCAGTGGGGTTTTTTTGTGATTTTTTTTCTTGAGCAGGAACGGTTTAATTGCATTTCAATGCATTCCTATGGAAAATGGTGCTTCGACTTACGACCATTTTGAGTTACGTCCGGAGTTCCGGAACCAATTAAGTTCGGTTTTTTATGATTTTTTTTCTTCAGCAGGAAAGGTTTAATTGCATTTCAATGCATTCCTATGGGAAATGGTGCTTCGACTTACGACCATTTTGAGTTACGTCCGGAGTTCCGGAACCAATTAAGTTCGTAAGCCGAGGCACCACTGTATAAATAATTGTCACAGCTAGTGCAGACTCACTAGCGTAATCTGAAATATAAGACATAAGACATTTATTTGTCATTGCGCTCACAAGCGGGTGCAACGAAATGAGGTGCTCTTCCCCAAGGTAAAACTGGACAACACTACAAAAAAAAGTTAAAATATACACAAATATGGTTGTATGGAGCTGGATCATCTTGTGAGATTTTAATTTGTACATTTTTACTCAATCTGTCGGGCTTAGATATAAATATAAACATGATGAAATTGTATCCTACTGAAGCTTTTGATCATGTACCAGCAAATAGTGTGGAGTGGTAGTAATATCATCATTTATTAATAGTGGGGTTCTGGAATGTCCTTCCTGCTTTTTTATGCTTTAACTGCCTCCCAACTTCCAGTTGTTTTATTTGTTTATTGATGCATAAAAGGATTTCCCCCCTTAACCCATGGATTGTAAGCTGATTTAGAAAGCTACAATGAGACTTATTTGTCAAAAGTGTTTTTGAAAGTTCTGGTATACAATGACTGAAATCCTGTTGCTTAATTTAAATGGGCCTACTCTAGTTGTGACTTACTTTAGCATAGTAAGTTGCAACTGGAGTAGGCCCATTTGAATCTGGAACTTAGGAAGGATTTCAAATAACTGAAAGCTTAGAGAGACAGGACTTACTTCTGTCTGCTCAATATCTTTAAAATGTTTCTCATCACTTTACATGAACAGAGATAAAGCTTGTTGGCTTACAATTGCTTGGCTCACTTTATACAAATTAGGGGTACCTTGACTATTTCTTAGTCCTCAAATGTAGTGGCCAAGTCACACATTGTTGTTATATCAGCAATTTCACAATTGAGTTCTGCTTTCAGATAGATGCCATCCTTGTGTACTGTTTGCCTCAGTTTGTGTGTTTTTTTCCTGGTAAACTGAGCATAAACATCTGCCTTATGTCTGTCAGGAAAAGTACCTGTAAATATTAAAGAAGCTTCCGGACAAGACTTTTATTGTGCATTAGACTTGCCATGAACATGGTGGGATTTTATGAAGAGGTCTGCAGACAGTGACAACTTTCAGTTGTAATTACCTATGTTTTTCTGTACTTTATTCATATTTTCTCATAATGCAAAAGATATGCTAAGGGAGTAGAGAGTGATACGGTAGTGTTAGGAGTTGTTCACATGCAAGCATCTTTAATGCAACTTGCCCGTGATCATTGTTCTTTAGCACAACAGGAGCACGCTTTTCCCAAAAATACCTTCTCGCTTGCGTAGCTCCGCTTCACTGAGGAAGTCCTAGAAGGAAACAAGTGCTTCACCCTTCTTTCATCAGTTGTTTCCCACTGAACTTTCTCCCCCAGATGCTTGCATTGTTGTAAGGTCACAAAGCAAACTTTTGTAAGGTAAATAGTAATAAAATATCCTGGTTAAGGGGTTAAAAGTAGCAACTGGGGTAGTTTGCACTGCTAGTTGCTAGCAGTAGTACCTTCCCACCCCTTTTTTCCCCCAGTACAAATTTCCCCTCTGGTGGTGCTTTCCTACCAGGAAGGAGCATCGAGACATTTATTATATATCTCTAAATCAGAAAGATTTTAGGACAGATGGCAGTTCTCTGCCCTAGCTATTTAGAAAACTATTGCATGGCTGTATTCTGAGAGGAATTCCCTTGATCCAAAAATAAAGAGAGCCATCATTGCAATTTTAAGCAAAACGTAAGTGTTGACATAAGCCTGAATATGGAGGATTGTTTCCTCTGGGCAGCTGGCAACACGCATGTAACTGCTAGCCATTTTGTTTGCAAATTGCGAAATCAGGTCACGAATATGACAAGTCAAATCTTTCATACTGCTGCATGAATAATTTCAAGTTCCTTGGAACAACTTGGAAAACAAATGTAGAATTTTACGGGAGAGAATCCTAGCAGGACACTGCTTCTGTGGATAGTCTGTTTTGCATTTAGTTTGAATGCCAGGCTGTTGTTATTTTTGGAATGCCAACAGTATTCATGACCTTGTATATAAAGTAGAATAAAGATATAGACCTTGCCTTCAGGCTCACTGGCTTAGTAAGAGACTGGACCACAAATGAAGCAAAGGAAAAGTGATGAAGGAGGGAAATCAGGTAAGGAATCCCAGAGCAAAGGGATGATTAACAGGCATTTAAAGACAAACCACAAGCTACACTGCAATGCAAGGTGAATCAAGGTGTCCATTTTCCAGTCAGTGGCTTGGAGCCAAACTTGCCTTCTCCTTGCTTCTGCAGACAAAGAATAAAGAACATTTGAAGCAAGGTGCTCTCTGGAAGGAAAATTGTTTACGTTTTTTCAGTGTTTGGTAGATATTTTTAAAAATAGTCTTTACAACTGGTATTATTTCCCATCAGGTGCTTTTCAAACAAGGAGGAATGGGCACTGCAGAAACCAGAGATGTACTGTACTTTATTTCTTCTCCTCTGTGCTTATAACACTTGGGCCACAGGCTACATGTAGGCCTGCTCACAGTGTACGTATCTTATTATGTCCCCACACGCATGACAGTAAGTCTTAGAAAAGGCCTAATCATTTAATGTCGGCAGTTTCCAGGGTGCTGGCAGCCCAGATGAGAAATAGGAAAGACAGGAGTAGAGAAGAAAGAAACAAGATAAGGAAAGAGGCAAGCTATGTGGGGGGGGTGATAGAAGAGGAGACAGAGAATGTTGTAGCCATGTTTTGCTTTGGCTGTGTGCTAGCACATGGCCTTGAGAAAGTCCCTTCACTTACGGTTACTATATATAGTTATTTATTTTACATCATACAGTGGTGCCTCGCTTAACAATGTTAATTGGTTCCCCAAAAAACATCACTATGGGAAAACATCGCTAAGCGAAACACCATTTCCCATAGGAATGCATTGAAAATCGGTTAATCCATTCCAATGGGAATTGATTACCGTCCTTAAGCGAAAATCGCCATAGGAAACATTGCTAAGCGAAACAATGTTCCCCCCATTGGAATGCATTGAAGCCTATTCAATGCATTCCAATAGTTTTGCGATGTCCGTTTTTGCTATTTTTAAAGTGTCTTAAAAGGTTCAAAAACTGTTTTAAATGCTTGGGATCATTAGTGCACCTTGTAAAACCTTTGCAAACTTAATGTGGCTTTGTTCTGAGTCTTCGTTAATTTTTGCTGAATTTCCCCCCCATTGAAATGCATTGAACTGTCGGTTTCGCTAAGCGAAACAGGGGACCTAAACTGTCATCGCTAAGCGAGGCAAGGTCCCGAACATCGCTATGCAAAATTTTCCTATAGGGAACATCGCTAAACGGAGCGCAAAATCACTCCAAAAACCTCATCGCTAAGCAAATACATCGTTAAACGAGGCAGTCGCTAAGCGAGGCACCACTGTACTTCCACATATTTATTTATTTATTTTCTATCACACCATTCTGAACTGAGTGACTAACAAAAACAAAATCTAGACACAAATGAATCTAACTTAAAACATAAAAACAAATAAATTAAAAATACAATTTCATATTCTTTAGTCATCAAGTCATGCCCGACTCTTCATGACCCCATGGACCAGAGCACGCCAGGCCCTCCTGTCTTCCACTGCCTCCCGGAGTTGGGTCAGATTCATGTTGGCAGCTTCGGTGACACTGTCCAACCATCTCATCCTCTGTTGTCTCCTTCTCCTCTTGCCTTCACACTTTTCCATCATCAAGGTCTTTTCCAAGGAGTCTTCTCTTCTCATGAGAT